TCCAAAACAAAAAAAATTTGCCACGAAAATTTTTCCGAGACAACAAGTACTCCTCTACAACTCCAGGCTCAAATTGTTTCCAGGAAAGCTGAAATCAAGATGGTCAGGGCCTTTCCTAGTGCATCAAGTGCATGGCCATAGAGCAGTAGATATCAAGAACTTAGAAGATGGGAAAATTTTTAAAGTGAATGGCCAAAGGCTGAAGGCCTATAATAGAGCACCCATCGTGTGCGACAAATTGAAGTTACTGCTTCTTTATGCCTAAGAGTTTTCCCTTATGTCTTCAAAAATTTTGCCACTGTAAATTATTTTTGCATTTTTAGCTTTCTTTTCGTTGCTGACCCAGTTGTTGACCCATGGAAGAGCATGTTCAGTATCCGCCACCAGAGGATTTACCACAGCAAGTTAGTCCCCCAAGGACCAGGCATGGCCTAAAGCGCTCACCTGGCCGTGTATATACTGCTATCTCATCACCGTATATGTCCGAAGACATAATCTGATAGCCCACACCACTCATGAGACGTCGTACCGAGCATCCAGTAAGACCAATCCACCACAATGAGGTACCTCTACCACATTTGCATTTGTATTTCATTTATTTTAGTTTCATTTGACTTAGTTTTCATGCATTGAGGACAATGCATCCCTCAAGTTTGGGGGAGGTATTATGGTCATACTTAGTCATTTGCATTGATAATGTTCAGTAGAAAACTTTTTGTTATGGCGTGAGTTAAGATTAGGTTAGTTACTTGGAATAAGTTGATGATGCCTGATGATGATAATTTTTTTGCCATGCCTAGAAATTATTGTACATGACTGTTGAGGAGGATATAACTAACCCTAAAACTTAATTCTTTGTGACTCTTTGAACACGATTGTATGTTTTCTATGCTTGAGGAACTTAGAAAATTTTATGAAAGAACTTTTGCGCGTTGTGGCATACAGTTCTGGTAATGAACTTAACTGTTATATCAATGCATGAAAGGCTAAGTTAAACTCCTTAATGTTGTGAATTGTGTTGAATTACAAATAAATACCTCGGCATAGCTGTAAAGGGACACTTCTATGTGTGATGGCATTGCCTGGAAACCCCATTGAATAAATAGAAGCCTTAGCACATGAGTGAATGAAAGTAGTCACAGGATGACTCTGCTTGACTAGCTCAGGGATGGAAGGTATCCTCTCATTCATCTAGAGTGTGGGATGGTAGTTGTGATAGGCTGACTCCCCTTGTGTAGTGTTTATGTTTTAAAAAAATTAAAAAGTTTAAAAGTTTAAGTGTTGAATAAATAGGAGTAAATTTTGTGATTAAAGAATAATTTTATGCCTTGGAAAAACAAAATAACTTACTTAGGGACTTTCTAATTTTGTCAAGCATAGACTACATGCAATCACGCATACACATACAAAGGATCTTGGCCTAGTGAAAGGTATTTGACTTCTCAATTAGTCTAGCATGTTGAAGCCAAACTTTTTGTTGAGGGATGAAATTTTAGACCACTTGACTGTCTTGATTTATACTTCACCATAACGTTTTATTTTTTTGTTGCTTATTATCCATTGCTCGAGTACAAGCAATAGCTTAAGTTTGGAGGTGTGATAACTCCGTAAAAAACTATATTTTGGGTCTTTTTACATACGTTTTTCATTGTCTAAAAGCTATTGGCATAAGAATTTTAGCTACATATAGTTGAATTTAGGGCATTTCATTGCATGTGGTGGAAAGTTTTGTCGTGGCTAGTTTTTCTTGATAAAACTGATGTTGCTGATGAGAAGGGTTGTGTGTTGGTTGTCATTGTGTAGGTTATGGAAATGACCGAGGAGAGAATTATTCTCCATGACAATTTTAAAGCGAGGGACAAAGGAACTAATGATGATCACCACGGTAAGTTTTTCTTACAAGTCTAGATATAATACAAGACAAAGTAGCTGACGTCGTACGGCCAGTTGTCTGATGCACCTCATGTGAACCTCCTGCCCTACTGATAATTTGGGATCACTGCCAAGTACCATAATATCATGTTTTGGGCATGAATTTAAGGGTATTTGAGGGAATTTAAAGGGGAAAAACCCTAGAAATTCCCCACTATAAATAGAAAATGATGTCCACAATTCCAGTTCCACCCTCACCTCAAGAGAGGCTAGCCCGCTAGAGCGGTCCATGGTGGTGGTCTGAAAGTCACGGCAACAGCCCTTTGTTGGGAGTTTCTTTCCTTGTTCTTTATTTCTTATGTTTTTTAATGGCTTGTATTAATGAAGATTTAAGATGATTTTATCTACACCATAAATTGATCTATTTGGTTATTGGATTTGTTGGGATAATGATTTTATTTTGTGTTTAATGGATAATTAAGTATATTTATGTTTTATGTTGTTTTGTTCACTGTTTTAACTTTATGTTGTAGCATTGTAAAAGCGTTTGAGAGAATACCTGATGTTTGACATAAATTTCTTAATCTTTGTAAGAGCTATTAAGAGATATTTATTTTTCTAAGAGTATATACATAATATCGAGAGAGTTAGGTTAGATCTATGTGAACAAGAGAACTAATCCGGGATGCTGAGGTTCTAATCCTCCTTAGAGATAAGGAGAGGGTTTTCAAATGACTAAAAGGGATAACACTCATTTGATAGGCTAGCGTCACAGTTTACGCTGAGAGGTATTGTCTTTGTAATAGTTTTATCAGGTTCCTTACTAGAGATATCCTAGGAACACTTCTAGTAAATCCTATCGAGAAGCATAAGCATAGCGTACTTAGATCATCTCAGACATAGAATAATTTCTTCCCATAGCAAATCAAACCCAAGTGCTCCGTAAGAAATCTGTTTGTGTCAGGTTTTTAGTCTATATTCAGAACTCGGATATTTCTTGCCTTAGAAAAAAAAAATATTATTTGCTCTTGCATAAATTTTTTGCCACGACATAAAATTCTTGTTCACTTTACTCCACAAAATTTTCTTGCCATAGCATATTTTTCCCATGTCTTAATACCATCTGCCATAACATATTTTCCCTTGTTTATATCATTAGACTTAGACACTTAGGATTAGTTAGTGACAACTAATTTCTAGTTATAGCTTGCTTTAAAGAATTCCCTACAGTCCCTGTGGAGACGATACTCACTCACTACTATATTACTTGCATCAATTATGTATACTTGCATTGATTTGTGTGCCATAACACACACATTTACACATGACCACTTCACTATAACGATTGGATATAGCACTTCAGCCTCTATGAATAGCTTCTCAAACAACGTCTTGGTCGCCAAATCCCTTTTCTATGCATATTCTCAATATTGAACCTGGGCTTTATGCATCTGGGACTGATTTTGAAAAGAGTGGCTAGCCATTTTAAGACATTCCAAAGTTCGGTCATCAATAGGCGGGAGCTGTGCTGCAGCCATAGAAATATATTTCCCTTGGAGCTTTATTAGGGTCTAGTCTTTTCTTTAATAATGCTCGCGTTACAACAACAGGGGTGATTGGGCTTCGATTCTCTATAAGATTATCGTAAGATAAAATAACTACTTGTGCTTGAGAGCAAAATGCAATAATTAGTGATGTAAAATACAAATACCAGAAGTCTTCTGACCACAAGCAATTATTTTAGCAGAAACTATTTTTCCAACATCAATTTTTCTTCCAAAATAAAATGGAATAAAGCAACAAGATTCAATCCTTAGTAATATTAGAAGAATGCATGGTTGGCATTAATCGAGTTATAAAAAAAACCATACCCATGCATCTTTGATGGATATCTAAGCGTCTTATGGTTCAAACGCCAGTAGTCGATCTCATCCAAAACCGGCCAGGTAAGAAAACATCTCGCCCTACTTGCTCCAACTCCTCCTCGGTTAAATTTTGCAAAAATTTCGTATGCTTGCAAGGCTCTTTGGCGATACCTAATAAATTGTTTATTGGTTTTTCCCACCAATTGACCATCTTCTCTCGAATAAAGACTAGATACTTAGTCTGCTTGATGAGATTGTTGTAAAATTCCCAAACGATGTGCTGGTTTATATCATCGTGTTGTTCAAAGAATTTCCCCAACCTCGATGAGTGATCAACTAAGAGATATAATTGAAGATTTGGGGTTCCTTGTCTGTAGATAAATCAATTCCCTGCTCATAACAGAAATCTCAGCTTCAAATTCCTCCTAATAACAGAAATCTCAGCTTCAAATTCCTCGTAATAACATCGTATGTGGATGTTATTAATGAACCATGTGACTTTCTCCTACGGTGACATTGCCAGTGGCGTAGCAAAAGTAGGAGCTGGAGTGGGCGTACGACCTGATTGCTTTGAACTTGATTTATTTTTTGGTGCCATGACAGTTTGTAGATCAAGGAAGAAAAATGGAAGAAAGGTTACTATAGGTTTTAGGGCCATGGAGAAGATGAGAGTGGAGTAAATGGGGTAATTGGGTTACGTGGAAAAAATGATAAAATAATTTTAAATTTTAAAATTCTAAGGTGGAGGGATAAGGATAGATTGGAATAGGAAGCTATGATTGGGTTAAGTATCAGTTAAAAATGAAAAGGGTAAATGGGAACAACTCACACAATTTTTTACCATAAAAAAATATTTGAGTAACCTTGTAATATTATGGCTTCCATATAACGAGGAATAATTACTGCAACGTAAATAGTTGTGTAGCATGGAAGAACAAGTCGAGAGTCATCAATTGAAAACAACAATAATAAATAAATAAAATAAGTACTTATAAATAAATGTAAAAAGAATTGACTTATTCAAGAGAACAAAATATTAAAAATAAAGAGGACCGCTTAGTGTGATCGAAGCGATGCTAGGGCTTTGTTGCTGGCAATAATGCTTTAAATGTCGCCATTGACTTTAAATGTGCTTCCGTCCACCAAGTTCTTCAATAATAATGCATCATGAGGGAAAACTTCAAGAACTTCGAAAGGACCCGACCAACGATAACACAATTTCCCAGGGAATAATTTTAGTCTCGAATTAAATAACAACACTTGCTATCCAACAATGAATTCCCTTGGCAAAATATTCTGATCATGCCATTTCTTTCTCTTTTCTTTATAAATGCGCAAACTTTCATATGCATTATTTTGGAGTTCCTCCAACTCATTGAGCTCCAGCATTTGTTTTTCGCCCGCAGCATTTAAATCAAAATTTAGCCTTTTTAGCACCCACATACCTTTATGCTCCAACTCCACCGGTAAATGACAACCTTTACCATAAACGAGACGATAAGGGGACATTACCAATGGAGTCTTATAAGCAGTTCTATAAGCCCATAGTGCTTCTGCAAGGTGTTGAGACCAATCCTTTTGATAAGGGTTCATAACTTTCTAAAGGATTTGCTTGATTTCACGGTTCGACACCTCAGCTTGGCCATTAGACTGTGGATGATATGTTGTAGCAATCTTATGCTCCACTCCATATCTATTCAATGCTTAGGCAACTTGATTACCAATAAATTGAGATCCTTCATCATTGATAAATGCACGAGGTATTCCAAAGCGAGTGAAAATATTTTTATACAATAATCTCAACACCACTTTACCATTGTTATTTAGCAAGGCTGAAACCTCCATCTATTCGGATACGTAGTCTACAACAACTAAAATGAAGAGGCTAAGATAGGTTACATTGGCATTTTATTTCGTCGATAAATATTCCCAGTTCACTGAAAATAATCACAATGCTTTACAAAGTCATTAGCATATTTAAAAAGTGATGGCTAATAATATTCAAATTGAAGCACTTTCACTGCTCTGCGTATAGCATCATATGAGGAACTATGACAATGTTGCAAAATGCCTTGTTGCTCGCATTGAAGGATACATCGCCGCATAAATTGATCACTGCATTGTTAAATTAAATACGACTCCTACCAATGATATTTCTTTACATCCCGCAAAAATTTCCTTTGGCCTTGGTAGTTTAGGTCTGGTGGTATCATCCCACTAACTAGATAGTTGGTAAAATCAGTATACCATGGTATTGTTATAGCAGCTAACAGACACTCATCAGGGAATTCGTCTGGAATTATTGCAATGCTGCCATCTTCGCTGCCTGATTCTAACCTAGACCTATGATCAATCACTTGATTTTCAGATACCTTGTTATCCCGAATCTCAATGTCAAATTCTTTAAGTAAAATCACCCATTGCCCTAGTACTACTCCTACAGCAAAATCACTAGCATCACACATTAATTCAATAGGTAAACTCCAATCTGGTGCTATAATAACAGGGGAATTTACTAGCTTCATTGTAATTGTCTCAAAAGATTTAATCACTTCATTATTAACAACAAACTTCGTGTTATGCTCCATCAATGAGCACAATAGCTTGGCAATTCAAGAGAATTCTTTAATAAACCTTTTATAAAAACCAGCATGACCAAGGAAGCTTCGAACATTAGTACGTGGTGATAATTTTTCAATAACCATTACTTTTTCTTTATCCACTTCAATGCCATGACTTAAAATCCGGTGCCCTAGCAATATACCTTATGTGACCATAAAATGACATTTTTCCTCAATTCAAAACTAAGTTGGTCTCCTTGCATCTTCTTAAAATTACAGCCAAATTGCTCAAACACTTCTCAAAATCATGCCCAAAGACTGAAAAATCATCCATAAAAATTCAAGATAGACCTCAATCATATCAGAGAAAATGACCATCATACATCGCTGGAATGTCGGTGGAGCATTACACAACCTAAATGGCATTCTGCGAAAAGAAAAGGTGGCATATGGACATGTAAAATTTGTTTTCTTTTAATAATTTGGAGCTATAGCAATTTGGTTGTAACCACTATATCCATCGAAAAAATAATAAATAGCATTACCCACAAGTCGATCTAACATTTGATCTATGAAGGGTAATGGAAAGTGGTCTTTCATCATTGCTTTATTTAGCTTCCTATAGTACATACATATCCTCCAACGAGTGGTGGTTCTTTTCGGCACTAATTCATTCTTATCATTTGTCACCACAGTAGTGGTGCCCTTCTTTGGAACACATTGCACAAGACTAACCCAATTGATGCCAGAAATTGGGTATATAATCCCAGCATCCAACCATTTGATAATCTTCTTTCGAACCACTTCTTTTATGATTGGATTTAATCTTCACTGATGTTCCATTGAGCTACTATTGGGATCCCCAAAAGAATTTTGTGCATACAAAATGATGAACTAAAGTCTTTTATATCAGCAATGTTGCTTCAACACATCAATTAATTGAGTTTCTTATGATGTTGTAAGTTGTGCTGCCATAATGACTAGCAAAGTCTCATTTTCTCCAAGATTAGAATATTTCAAATGCTCCGACAGTGGTTTCAATTCAAGCTTTGGTGGTTCTTCAATATATGGGCTTTGGTGCTTGAATGATATGATCGTGTGCTTATAAAGGTTCTATGCTCTGGAGATACTTGCTATAGCATTCGACTTCTTCATCCATCAGAAATTCTTCAGATGCTTCAAATAATATAAATTTATATCTACGTTATAACATTCCTCCAAATGCTCCTATGCAAAAATATCAATCACATCAAGTGAAAAACAGTCAGCATTGTCATTGATCTAAGAAACATTTTCAAGACATTAAAGTAATATGTTCATCATTCAAAGGCATATTCAATTTTTCCCTTTTCAACATCAATCAAAGCTCGGCCTGTAGTAAGGAACGGGCGACCAAGAATAATTGGGACATCTTTGTTCTCATAATCTAAAATGATGAAATTTCTTAGGAAAGATAAACTTATCCACTCATAAAAGAATGTTTTCCATAATGCCAGTAGGATGTACGGTGGAGCGATCAGCAGGTTGCAAAGTAACCGTAATGGGCCTTGCTTTGTCACTCCCCAATTTCCTAAAGATTAACAATGGCATTAGATTTATGCTAGCACCCAAATCACATAAAGCTTTACCTAAAAATGAGTCACCAATGTTACATGAAATAGTGAAACTATTTTGATCCTTAAGTTTTGGCATTAATTAACTTACAGCCATGGTGTTATAGCCTTCAGTAAAAGTGACTGTCTCAAACTCACCAAGTCTTCATTTCTTTAAAAAATCTTCCCTCATGAATTTGATATAATTCAGATTTTGCTCTAAAGCATCAATCAATGGAAGGTTCACTGTAAGCTGGCGAAGTATATTAATGAAAGCTTTGTATTGTAGATCTTTTTTTTTTGCCTTCTTAAAGCATCGTAGAAAAGGTGGAGGCAATTTTGTTTGATGTTGCTGAGGCAATGGAGTCGAATCTGTATTAGATACGTCATGGATTACTATCGACAACGAGTCCGTGTTACTACTCTGCCCCATATCTAGTGCTGTAAATTGACTCACATATGGTTCAGGCTTAGTCTCTTTGCTCTTTCATTTACCATGCTAATGAGCATCCTCATTCTTTCTCTATGATTCTTCAACTGGGTCACCAATATGAATTCCAGTTCTTGTGGTAATGGCCTTACAATTTTGCCTAGGATTTTTAGCGTTGCTAGGCAACGATCCTGGCAATCGACTATTTAGAGCATTAGCAATTTGTCTTATTTGATTATCAATATCCCTTAATGAGATAGATTGGCTGGTCATATATTCTTTCATCATGGCTTCAAAAGATGTCAAGGTTGAAGTTTGATTCGAACATTGGCCTTGGTAGTTCTGTCTTTGCTCCGACTGAGCAACATGTTGTTGTGTATGCGGTTGTGGCATTTGGCTCTGCTTAGTGTAATGTTATGGTTGATATGTGGATTGACAACATTCTGACTTCTCCAAGAAAGATTGGTATGATTTCTGAAATTCAGATTGTATGTATTTCCAAAAGCATTTTCAATCCTTGGATAATTTTGCACATAGTAGATAGAATCTGAATTTTAGGGCATTCATCAAAATTGTGATCATCGCTGCAATATACGCAAATAATAAGAGATGTGGCTTTGACTTCATGCATTCCTCCTGGCTTATGCAAATTTTTCACCATGTCAGTCAATACTGAAATCTGAGATGCCATATAGTTAAAAGCTTCCGAGTCTACTGCTGCAGCACCACGTCAACCAAATGTATTACACATATTAGGGTATTGGCAATCGTTGGTGGAAATTATCTCAAGAATATCATATGCTTTATTGTATGTTTTATCTAGGAAAGCTCTATTTGTTGAGGCATTAACCACCATTCGAGTGTGAATATTTAACCCATTATAAAACATCTCCATTTGAGACCAATGCAGAAACCCATGCATAGGACACTTCCACAACAAATCTTTGAATCATTCTCATGCTTCATACAAGCTTTCATCATCCATCTGCTTGAATGAGGTTAAGTCATTTCAAAGCTTAGAGTTCGTATTCGCATGGGATGAATAGAAACAAGAACTTCTGCGCTAATTGATTCCAAGATGCTACAGCACCTGATAGCAAAGAACTCAACCAAACTGTGTTTTATCATGCAATGAAGAAGAAAATAGCTCCAACTTCAAGACCTCCTTTGGAACACCTTACTGAATAAAAGAATCGCAAACTTCAATGAAAGCTCGCAAATAGGCTCTAGGATCTTCAGTAGTAGAACCTCCATACTGTCCCATACATTGCAACATTTGGAACATAATTGGCTTTAATTCAAAGTTCGTAGCATTAATAACTGGTCTCACAATGGTTGGATGAAAATCATCCAATGTCGACACCACATGATCACGAATAGGGCAATTTCGATCATCTATATTCTGATTTGGCTGCTCAACTCTAATTTCATATGAAAACTCATTATTCTCTCCATTCTGTAAGGGGGGTTAAATATCATTCCCTCGTATAGCCATAGTAGCTTCACGATGAAGTTTGCGAAATGTTCTTTCAATCTCTAGATCAAATGGCTCTAAGTCATCATGGTTTCAGGACATACACTAGTAGAAATAGAGACTAATTGATACATGCATCGCAAGGCTCACATCAATGGAAGAAGTAATAACTCTTCCAAATGATCCACTCATCCAAGCCTTGGAAAAAAGATCAAAATAGCATACTTGCGATGACTTTTTGAATGGGATCCTTAACTTATTTGGTCAACATGTCTTCTTCATATACAACCGTCTGTCTCTTATATTTCCAGAGATTCTTGAATCGTATCAATCCCATATCGGAAACTCAAGATCCGTTCATTTTAGTGAAGACAAAATATGCAGAAATTCCTATACGAGATTAATATGTGATTTTGTAAATATTACGAATTTTCAATATTTAGATTGATTATTTGTAATATAATTTACTATAGCATGATGCATTATCTTTTAGGATTAAATTTATTATTTTATTAGGAATTAAGGATGAGTTAAAA